AGGGCGGAGGGAGGTGGTGCGGGACGCTAGGAGTACGTACGACTTCGTGTGCTGGTGAGTTTACGTAGGCCTCGTGGATGAACTTGTGCGTTTCGACAGCTTCCATGGTGTTTCGCATTGATGGGGCCCGTGTTTTGTTGTCATGTGAGGCCTCCCTCCTTTGCAGCTTCACCCTTGCAGGCCTTGTATGGTGCTTCTTTGGTGCGACTTTTGAGAATTCTTAGAAGTCGCACCAATATCCCTTTCAGGCCTAGTATGGTGCTTCTGCCACTCGATCTCTGACAAGGCAGAATGAATTTGAGCACTGCCTTCCCATATGCAACGCCAGCATCACATATCCTCCACTCCCCTCTTCTCACCCAGTGGTATACCCCTCTTCTTTTCATCCCCCCCCCAGCCCTCCCCAGCACACCAACAGCATCTGCCTTGTATGAAGGAGCCCAGCTCGTGGCTGCAACACAAAGCCTGGCGACAATCAGGCGGCTGGCGAGCTGCAGCAGCATCAGTGGTGGCGGTGAAGGCGGTCAGCGGGGAGTGGGTGGAGACAGGCTAGGAGGGAGCCCAACTCATCGCTGTGACATACAGCCGGGCGGCATGGCAGGGTTGTGGGATGCAACAATGTTGCAGCGGCAGTGGTGGTGGTGAGTTCTGTCAGCCATGGGTGGGGTGGAGGCAGGTGAGAAGGGAGCCCAACTCATTTCCTCCATGACACACAGCCGGGCGGCATGGCAGGGTTGTGGGATGCAGCAGCAGTGGTAGTGGTGAAGTCAGTTAGCGGGTGGCGGGTGGAGGAAGAGGGAGATGAGCACAGCTCATCGCTGGAACACACAATGGGGCAGGACGGATCCCAACTCATATCCATAACACACAGCAGGGCAACAGGAGTCATGGAAAGCAGCAGCAGTGGTGGCGGTGCAGTGAAATCGGTCACCTGCCTGCATGTACTCGCGTGAGCAGCCCAGCCCACCTCTGTGACACACCAGCCAGGCAGCATGGCAGGGCCATGGGATGCAGCAGCAGTGGTGGCGGTGAAGCTGGTGAGTCATGAGTATGGTGGAGGCGGGGAGGAGGGAAGGTAGGGAGGCTGACCCATGGGAGGGAGGGAGGGCAGTATGAGCAGCAGGGGCCATGGATATGAGGTAGTGGATGGCTTTTCAGTTGATGACAGGCAGGGCGACGTGCACAATGAGGCGTGGAGTTGGGGAGAGAAAAGCGAGGTAGCAAAAGCTAGCTGCACTTCGGTGGGTGCAATAGTTTCATGTTACTCACACGGGCTTTTAGGCTCGCAGGTACAAGCACATGGCGTGACTGAAGGTGCGTGTAAGTATTGGAGAGAAGGTGCAACTGCAGCTCAACGTAGTGGAGAGAGTGACATTGGACTAATACATTGGCTCGAGATAGCAACGTCCGAAGAATCGCAAAACGATGTACCGGTACATGTGCACTTGGTTTTCAGAATACTGAATTGGTACATGCTGTTTCACCAGCATATATTGGTACATGCTGGCGACAGGTCTTGAGGTCATCCATGTTCCGTGCAGCACCATTTCTATCGCTCCCTCAGGCATCAACTCTCTCTCCATCCCGTATCACCTACACCACAACCGCCTGATAAACAATCACCCACTTTCCCCCTCCACACCCCACACCCCCTCCTGTGCTGTGTAGTTTTACATATCCCCTTTATCACTTAACTATCCCCTCCCCCTCCAGAAAACCTCAACCCCCTCCATACACTGGTTTTTGAGAATTCTCAAAAACCAGAAAACCTCAACCCCCTCCATACACTTCTCCCCCTCCATACACTTCTCCCCCTCCTAGAAGGTTGGTTGTTGGTGGCAGCAGAGGCGATGTATGCACTCCAACCGCCTTTTAAGAATCTTTACGCGTACCCCTCTTCGATCCCACCTTCTCTTCCCCTGCCGTCGCCCTATTCGCCCCCAGCTGCATCTGTCAGGCGCCTTGCCATGATGTAATATCTAACAAAACCAACAAAGGATGAGACCAAGCATGGAGGGAGGTGAGGCTGGTGGCGACAGGAGTGGCTGGAGTGGGATAATTAGCACGCCAACCTGAAAGTTCTACAGCTTATGGGGGGGGGGGGGGGGGGATGCTTTGCATGTCAACATGAGCTGCCATGTCAGTATTTTAGTTGGAGTGTTGGGGCAGCAGTGCAAGCACACCTCAACCCATGCCGTATTGCTAGGACAGATCCAATCGCTTATCACTACCCTACCATTCTCTCATGCCTGCCCTTCCCCATGCCTGTCCTTCACCCATCCCTGCCCTTCACCCATGCCTGCCTTTCAGTCAGTTCCAGCATACCCACTCGAGCTCCGAGGGACGCGATGAGGGTACTACACAACAGTAGAAGTCGAGTCAGGAGCAGAAACAAGCAGGGTGGGGGTTGTATTAAGTGGGTAGAATGGTGGGGGTGCAGTGAGGGGATGCAGCTGCAATAGCCTTGGTCTGATCTTTCTGTGCTGAATACATGGCTGCAATGTGGTGAGTGTTGGTGACACTCAACGACCTCAGAGGAAAGGAGAGGAGAGCGACCAGCCTGCACCTCTGCAGCGCACGCTGAGACACTGTCCTTTGAAAAAACATATACGTCACATGCCAGTCTTCATTGCCGGCATGCCTCAGAGGAAAGGAGAGGAGGGCGACCAGCCTGCTCCTCTGAGCCAGCAGTCTGCACTGCACACTGAGGAGCAGAATGAAACTTACCGGTAGTTGATCTCTTGATCTCCTACCGTTTGTTCATCCTGTATGCCGGTGTATTTGCTACCGTATATGGCGTTGGTTGGGTGACGCAGCAGCACAAGCGACCTCACGGCTTTCTCATGCAGGAAAGGACAGTTGTGTGCTACTCCTCTGCCCTTTGTCCCATGCATGAAGCACTTCCAGGCTGCCACTCAGCCTAACCAACCATATGCCCTCTATGAAGCTGCAGCACACTTGTGCATGCCTGCTTCATTGCAAGCTTCTACAACAGCCACTACAACGAATCAAACACTCCTTTTTTCATTTCAGTATAGGTGGATGGTGAAAGTTCTGTTCTTACAACATTCAGAGTTGACGGCACACAAAAAAAAGGATCAAGGACTTGCTTGCAGAATCGTTCTCCTACTCTAAAATGTATAATTTTGCTGGTTTGCCAGAACAAAAATACAGATGAAGGCTACAGTTGTGAACACCACTCCTCAAGCCTCTCCTTAACTTTTGCCTCCACCATCACTCCCTACATCCATACCCACCTATCTGCCTGTGCACATCCTCATGAAAATCCCTATGTGGGAGCCGGAGAGACGTCAGCTCCCCTCATGAAACCGGTCTCTTGCCCAACCAGCCCTGCACCTGCTTCTGCCCTGCCCAACCAACTGCAAGGTACAAGGTCTACACGACCATTCTTCGACCCCATGCAACATGCAAGATCAGCTGCGCACAACCACCATGCCATGCCCCATTCCTCCACATGCATAGCCTTTCATTTCACACTCCTGGATAGCCATCGTCAACTCTCTCCATCCTTCGCGCCCCTGATCTCAACCCTCTCCCACCGCTGCTGCTGACCCCACTGCTGCCACCACTGCTGCTGCTGCCAACACTGTTGCTGCTGCCACCACTGCTGCTGCTGCCACCACTGCTGCTGCTGCCACCACTGCTGCTGCTGCCACCACTGCTGCTGCTGCCACCACTGTTGCTGCTGCCACCACTGCTGCTGCTGCCACCACTGTTGCTGCTGCCACCACTGCTGCTGCTGCCACCACTGCTGCTGCTGCCACCACTGTTGCTGCTGCCACTGCTGCCGCTACTGCTGCTGCGTCCACCATGCTCACGTCCCTCGCTGCTCTCTTGCTCGCCCTTGTCCCCAGGTTTCCCCCCTCTCCTCCCCTTCCCCTCCTGCTCTGCCTCGCCTTCCCCCTCCCCTTCGCCTTACCCGTCCGCCCTGCTGATGACCGCTTCTTGCTCCATCGTAAGAAATGCCAGGCAGGAATTTCTGATGCAGCTCCCAATATGCACTAGCTCTCTCGTCCAAAAAGCCGTGCACCTGCCTCTGTCGAACTGCAAGGCACCAGGTCCACATGAACATGCCACAACTCTCTGCAGCATGCAAGTTGAGCCGAGCACCACCACCGTTCCATGCCTCCCCTTATTCCTCACAATTGACTCTGCCATCAAGTGTCTCCCTCCCCTCCATCACTCTCGGCCCCCTTACCTACCTATCCAGCTGCGCACTTTGCCAGCATTAGACCCACTTGGCAGCTGGAGGGTTCTCAGCTTGGCCAAGGCACTCAGCTGCAGCAGCCCATCATCCGTGACTGCCGTGCCACCCAGAAATAGTTCCTTCAGCCCTGTTAGCCTCCCCACATGCACCATGCCAGCATCCATCACACCCTTGCAGCCACCAAGAAGCAGCTCTTCGAGCGAGGAGAGGCCTGTCAAGTGCTGCAGACCGTCATCGGTGATTGCCAAGTGCTGCAAAAAAAGCCTCCTCAGCGATGCCAACCTCCCCAGATCCACCAATCCAGCGCTTGTTATACCCTCGCAACTGGAAAGGTCCAGCACTTTGAGAGAGGTGAGACCTGTCAAGTGCAGAAGGCCAGTACCTGTAATTCCCGTCCCAACCATCAGAAGTACCTCGAGCCCTGTTAACCTCCCCACATGCACCATGCCAGCATCCGTCACACCCTTGCAACGATAAAGCCGCAGATCTGCGAGGGAGGTCAGTGCTGTCAAGTGCGCCAGGCCAGCATCGGTCACCTTGGTTTGATCGAGATAGAGCTCCTTGAGCCTGCTCAAGGACCCAATGCCTTCCAAGGCATTGTCTGAGACGTCTGTGTGTTGGAGGTTTAGCGTCTCCAGCTGTGGCAGCCTGTAGAGGTGCTTCATGCCCTCTGTACTGAGGCCTGCGCTATAAATGAAGTTAATGCTCGTCAGATGTGTCATGGTGGACGCATGCGCGAGGATATCGTCGGAGAGGTCTTTGCCCTTCAGATTTAAAGTGGGCCGTTGTGATGCTGACTTGATATTCTGGAGGTCATGGAAAGGGAAGGAATGACAAGCAAAGAACAACCGCATTAGAAATTCATGCGTGCCCTGTCAACCCTGTCAACCATGCCATGCCCTGTCCAACCATGCCATGCCCTGTCCAACCATGCCATGCCCTGTCCAACCATGCCATGCCCTGTTTAACCATGCCATGCCCTGTCCAACCATGCCATGCCCTGTCCAACCATGCCATGCCCTGTTTAACCATGCCATGCCCTGTCCAACCATGCCATGCCCTGTCCAACCATGCCATGCCCTGTCCAACCATGACATGCCCTGTTTAACCATGCCATGCCCTGTCCAACCATGCCATGCCCTGTCCAACCATGCCATGCCCTGTTTAACCATGCCATGCCCTGTCCAACCATGCCATGCCCTGTCCAACCATGCCATGCCCTGTCCAACCATGCCATGCCCTGTCCAACCATGCCATGCCCTGTCCAACCATGCCATGCCCTGTCCAACCAAGCATGCACTGTCCAACCAAGCATGCACTGTGTAACAGTTCACTCAACACTCACCTGCCATGCTAACTTCCGATGGCCTTTACTCTGCCTGATTTGCAGCGCAACATCCAGCTTCAAATCTTGTGTCATCTGCCCTTCCTCACAGGCCGCAGATGCCTCCATGTTACGCGGCTCGTTCAACTCCTGCACCTCCCTCGCCCTCTCCTCCTCCGGTGCAGAATCCGCTGTGGTTTCTTGCTTCCTCTTCCGACTCTCCCCTCTCAGCCCTTGTGCATCCAGTGCCTTACTACCCTCAGCCAACTTCTCTGCCAGCTCCCCCTTAACCACTGCCAGCTCGCATTCAGCTGCTTCCAACTTCCCCTTAACCGCTGTCAGCTCCCCACGCACTGCAGTCAACGTGAGCCACAACTCATTCACCTCCTCTTTCACTGCTGCCAGCGCCGCCCCTTGCAGTATCAACTCACTCAATGTACTCATCTCTCCCTCACCAGCCATCTCGTGCTCTCACTCCCCTCCAACGACCCTCCTTCTATGACCAGGTGTTCCCTCCGTTCAACTGACTTTTCGACTGCAGATTCGCGAAAGTAGACACGCGCAACCCTGGTAGGGCAGGGTTGCGCGTTATGAGAGGAAAGAGAAACGAAGAAAGAAAATAGGGAGAAAGGGCATGGTCAGTGCACACACGAACGAGACCAATTCCATGGGCATGAGGGATGACGCAGTGATGGGAGAAAGAGAGCAGATAAGGAGCAGAAGAAGAGGTAATTTGATGACAAGATGTGGGAAATTACCTCTATATCAAGCAGTGAAGGAAAGAGAGTTTGGCATTATGTCAGACGGCCAAAGAAGAGAAGGCCAGGACGAGATAATGCAGAAACCAGAGAACAAACCAGAGAAAAAAGCAGAGAACAAAGCAGAGAACAAAGCAGAGAACAAAGCAGAGAACAAAGCAGAGAACAAAGCAGAGAACAAAGCAGAGAACAAAGCAGAGAACAAAGCAGAGAACAAACCAGAGAACGAACCAGAGAACAAACCAGAGAACAAACCAGAGAACGAATCAGAGAACAAACCAGAGAACAAACCAGAGAACAAACCAGAGAACAAACCAGAGAACGAACCAGAGAACAAACCAGAGAACAAACCAGAGAACAAACCAGAGAACGAACCAGAGAACGAACCAGAGAAGGCGAGGACGAGATGATGAAGAGAAAATTTTACGATGGGCAATGCAAACCAGCAGGGAGTGTGAAAAAGAGACACCCCAGAACAACATTGCAGCAAGGCGGAAACAAATGCAGTGGGTGAAGTGAGGGGTGGAGACGCAAAGGGTGGTTCACATTGGAGAGGCACACAGAGGGCTGGCGTATAGACGGCTGGTGTATAGAGGGCTGGCACACAGAGGGCTGGCACACAGAGTGCTGGCACACAGAGGGCTGGCACACAGAGGGCTGGCACACAGAGGGCTGGCACACAGAGGGCTGGCACACAGAGGGAGTGGTGTCAGCCACATAAAGTGAGGTGGACGAGCAGAGCAGCAAGAGTGACGTGACCTACATACAATGTAAGAGAGAGTTCTCACTCTGCTCCTTACCACAGTCAGGTAGGTGAGTGTGAGGGAAGCCGGAGCGAGCACACAACGAGGGGATCTGCGCTGAGAGTACAGGGCAAGGGAGAACACAACTGGGAGTGAAGTGAATGCCATACTATGAGTGAGCAAAGGGCTGAGCGGTGGCTTGGACGTTTGGGGTGCTGTTTGAGCCGAGATGGAAGATTCCTAAAGTCGACTCACAACGTGGCTTGATATTCAACTCGGCTCACAGCATGCTGATCAGATCGGCTTGAGACGACGGGGCTGATCGGAAAGCAGTGCGCTGCAGGTCAAGCTGGTGATTTCCAAAAAACAGTTTTCTACAACACAGTTTCCTTGTCAGGTTCGATACACGTAACACCTCACTTTTCCATAGCTCCTTTTCAGAATTCTCAAAAGTTATTGATAAGTCTGAGACGATGCATATAACACCTCTCAGTTCATAGCTCCCCTTCTTTGGCTGAGGTTTGCAAGGAGCATGATACATGCCAGATCCCTTGACCCGGTGAGTCACACCTACGGGGTGGGTCACGTTTCACCAGCTCGATCCAATACAGGCTAGGTCACCACCAAGCTAGGTGAGAACAACCTAGGTAACTCAGAACCTAGATTAGTCATCAGCTAGGCACATCATTGGTTAGGGTAGTATAGTCTAAGCCAGTCACAGTTTTAACCAGTTCGAGGCCACGTTACTAACTGGATAAGTTACTCATTGTTTATATCAATCATTGGCTGGCTAGAATCTAAATCACTCGTTGGCCAGGTCACTCACTGGCTACTTCCGTCGAAAGTTAGGTCAATTGGAAGCGAGCTCTTTTGCAAGCTAGGTTAAACACACAATAGGTCAGTTGAAGGCTACGGCAGTGCTAAGGTAGATCAGTCACTGGCTGGGTCCATCATAAGCAACGCCGAATAGAGGTTTGGTCACTTACAAACTACGTCAGACAGACACAAGCTAGGTCAGACACAAGCTAGGACACTCACTCACAAGCTACAGCAGACACAACACAAGTAATCAGTCAGAGTCAGTCCACATAGACAGGGACACTCACAGTCTAGGCCTTTGATGGCATAGGTCGGTCCCACGAGAGGTCAAGCACAAGATAGGTCTGACACAAGTGAGGTCAGTCATAAGATAGACTGGTCACGGGCTCACAGGTTAGGTCAACTACGAACTAGGCCTGTCAGGCACAAGCTACGTTAGTAGTCATAGGCTGGGCCACTCACGACAACCCGGGTCGGTCGGTCACATACATGCAAGGTCAACCACAGGCCAGCCAGGTTAGATGCGAGCAGCGAGTCATGCTTTGACTCGACTCGCCCAATTCAGGTGTGTCGAGTGGCGTAGATTGAGTTTATTCTTCTATTGGAAATGAGTCGAGTCGAGTCGGCTCAATCTAATGGCCAATGCATCGCCTGTCTGGATTGAGTCAGCAAGGACCCCCCAAATCGTAATTTGACGAGATGCAGCTGACTCGTCGGTACTCGAGTAGGTTGTCACAGCCCAAGCACTTACATTGGGTCACGAAGAGCGAACGTTCAGAAACTGGATCTTGCAAATTCAAGATCCAATCTCCGTATTAACTCCTCTTTATGTTTCCAAACAATCCGACTTGAATCGGTTTCATTAATGGCAAGGATCCACCTTAGATCGTCTTCCATTCACTACCTTAGTGCTGCCAAGCAACCTCCTTCGGGTCGTTTCTACCTTAGCACCACCACGAAATCCATTTTAGCTCGTAGTAGTGGTTCTTGACTGAAATGAGAAACCATTCTCTAATGTTTCAAACATCAGCAGAATCGACTTACATGTTCATCATTACTGCGACCAGAAAGCCACAGTACCAGATCAAGTCAACCTCGACTTCTGAGTAGGTTTGAGTCCGGCCTGACTCGAACCTAAACCAGGGTAGGGGCGACATTTGCCCCGACTTACCTCGGGGTTAATTGACTCGTCTCGCGCTGAGACTGAGCAGACTCTACTGCACATGTCTAGGGCCACAGGCTAGTCACAAACCATGTCAATTACAAGCTATGTCTGTCAAGTTGGGTCAGTCACGGCAAGATCAGTCACAGGCTGGGTCAGCGGAGGCTGCGTACGTGACAGCGTGAGTGTCTGAACCAGGGCGAGGAAACACAGCACGGGAAGGGGCCGGGGCAACAATGAGAGCCTAAGCCAGTTCGAGCCTAGGTCAATCAGAGCCTAGGTCAATCAGAGCCTAGGTCAATCAGAGCGTAGGTCAATCAGAGCATAGGTCAATCAGAGCCTTGGTCAATCAGAGCTGAGGTCAGTCAGAGCCTAGGTCAATCAGAGCCTAGGTCAATCAGAACCTAGGTCAATCAGAGCCTAGGTCAATCAGAGCCTAGGTCAATCAGAGCCTAAGTCAATCAAAGCGTAGGTCAATCAGAGCGTAGGTCAATCAGAGCCTAGGTCAATCAGAGCCTAGGTCAATCAGAGCCTAGGTCAATCAGAGCGTAGGTCAATCAGAGCCTAAGTCAATCAAAGCGTAGGTCAATCAGAGCGTAGGTCAATCAGAGCCTTGGTCAATCAGAGCTGAGGTCAGTCAGAGCCTAGGTCAATCAGAGCCTAGGTCAATCAGAACCTAGGTCAATCAGAGCCTAGGTCAATCAGAGCTTCCCTCCTTCTACGACCTCCCCTCCTGGCTTGCATCAGGTCATATTGGTGCGCGATGCGGAAAGCCGCACAGAGCTGGTGAAGCGGATCAGGTCAAAGGGACTCGTGCTCAGCGTGCACGAGTGCAAGGGGCTGGAGTTCCAGGTGAACTCACTCTTCATCACCGCATTGGGGGGATAAAGTTCTTGGTAAACCGTACCATCCTCCCTTGTCATGCACTTCCATGGAACTCCTTCCCCTTTGCTCTAGCTTCAACAAGTCTCTGAATAACGTAATCCCCGCTGCTAGAACGATCACTCCCTCATTTTCCACAGACATCTCCTATTCATCCATAACCCATTCTCTCTCCCACCCAACCCCTTTCACCCATTTATCCCCTCCACTCCGCTCTCCCCAGGATGCCCTGGTGTACAATTTCTTCTCGGGCTCGCCTATGGCGTCCAGCTGGCGGCTGCTGTACCACTACATGCGCGACCACTCGCTCATCCCCTCCGCTGAGGACGGCTCTAGCCGCTGGCAGTGCCCCTCCTTTGACCCCAAGCGGTGCGTGGCTGTGAAGAATGCCAAGAATTTGTTTCCATGGTGCTAACATTGCATTGTTTAGCCATAAAAGCAAACTGACATTCCACTCTTCCACTAATATTTGCACCCACTGTCTTCCCTCCGTGCCTCCTTCCGTTTATTCCCATCATTACCTCACAGCCCCTCCACTCCCCTTTGCTTCCCTCATTTCTTATTTCTTCTCCTTTCTGAAACACACAATCTCCTTTACACCTGACTGGAGTAACACGACTCGACTCGTTTCCATTCCAGCTCACTCACATCACAGCATCTCCCCCACTCTCTTCTCTTCCCCCCATCCTCACCAGGCACAACCTCCTGTGCAGTGAGCTGAAGCAGCTATACGTGGTGCTAACACGAGCGCGGCAGCGGCTGTGGATATACGAGGAGGACGAGGGGGCGAGGCGGCCGGCCATGGACCTGTGGGGGGCCATGGGCGTGGTGGCAGTGAAGGCACTCACGGCCGACCTTCTCACGTCCATGCACACAGAATCGTCGCCCGAGGGGTGGCATAAAAGGGGCACTGAGGTGAGATCTGAGTTGAGCCAATTAGAAGAGTATGGAAGGCGCGGGACGGGGAAAGAAAAGATTCATATTGTTTCCTTGCCACTCATCTTAACCCCACCCCTCCCCCGCACTTCCTGTCCGTCCTTTGTCTCCCCCCTCCCTTTATTTCTCCGACATTCACTTACCACCCCGCTCTCTCCACTCTCATCTGCCTCCTGCCTCTCCCATCTTGCCTCTCCCATCTTGCCTCTCCCATCTTGCCTCTCCCATCTTGCCTCTCCCATCTTGCCTCTCCCATCTCGCCTCTCCCATCTCGCCTCTCCCCTCTCCCCTCTGCCTTATCCCCTCTGTAACTGCCTCCAATCTGCTGCTCCCTTCTCTCGCAGCTATTCAACGCAGCCCAGTTCGAGGCAGCAGTGCTCAGCTTCGAGCGAGCAGGCGACGAGCACAGTGCAGCGGTGGAACGGGCAGCGCTGCTGCAGCAGACAGCCAAGAGGCTACAGGGCACGGACCCCAAGAAGGCCAGCAAGACGTTTCAGGACGCCGCAGACGCGTTTCTGAAAGTGGACAAGCCGAGGGATGCCGCCCGGTGCTTGATCAGTGCGGGCAAGATGAAGCAAGCAGGTGAGGAACGGTGGAGTGAGGTGGATGAGATAGGGGGAAGGGACGTGAAGGAAGAGGGCAGGGGTGGTTGAGAGGAGGGCAGTGACATGATCTGATAGGCGTGTTTGAAGGAGAGATCTGGCTGTTGTTCCGCTTGCTTGAAGAGCTGTATATGATTCCTCTCCCTCCCTGTCTCGTCCTTCCACCTTTCTTCCTTTTCAACACTCACTTGTGAAGGTGGTTATCAGTGATTTGTAACACTCTTTGATCTGCTTTCATACGTCCTCCTTTCTCCCGGGGCACCAACCAGGCGATGTGTATCGGGACAGGTGTGTGCCACCCATGTGGGTGAAATCAGGGGAGTGCTACGAGCTGGCAGCGATGGCAGAGGAAGCAGCACAGTGCTTTGCACAAGTGTGGGAGGTGGAGAGGGCGCTGCTTGTGTGTGCACAGAACCGGCTGTACACTCTCGGAGTGTCCCTGCTGCACGTGTGGCAGGGACAGGTTGAGGAGGGAATGAGAGCAGTGAAAGTAAAGCAGAACCAGCAAGGCCAGCAGCTGCAGCAGCAGAAGCAGGAGGAGGAAGAGGAAGAGAAGTGGAAGCAGCGAGAAAGGCTCGTCATTCGAAAGAACGCAGAGTTCCTGCAGCAGGCTGCTATGTTCTACTATCGCAAGAAGAACATGAGCGAGGTAATGATGTTTGTGCATCAGCTCCCCTCGCTGGCAAAGAAGCGGCCGTTCCTTGAGAGGCGAGACTTCTTCGGTGAGTTGCTCCAGATTGAGATAACTGAGGGGAATTTCCAGCGGGCAGCTGAAATGATGCTCAAGAAAGGAGACATGGTTGGGGCAGCAAGAATGTTTCTCGGGCAGAAGGAATGGGGGCGGGCGTTTGAGTGTGCGATGGGTGCGGCTCGTGTCGTGAGCATGTGGGCGAATGGGAATAAGGGATGGCCATTGAATGTTCGGGAGCGGAAGCAAGAGAAGGTGGAGAAGCAAGAGGTGACAGCGGAGACCAGGAAAGACGAATTGCTGCTGGGATTGGGAAAGGAGGATGAGGGAAAGAGGGTTAAAGTGAAAGCAGGAAACGGTGAAGCTGTTCCAAACGCATGGGAGGCGAGGGCTGATGCGGATGAGAGTGAAACGGAAGTCCAGGGCAAGATAGACGCTCCAGAGGGAGGGGGAAAGCAGCAGAAAGCGGAAACGCAGGAGAAAGCGGAAAAGCAGGAGGGCGTGGAGACGAATGTAGGTGAAAATATAGATGCGACTATGGATGCGCTGGAGACAGCTGTTGCCGTGTGGGTGTGGGAGAGGAAGGCCAGGGAGCAGGGAAAGGACGTGAAAGATCTAGAAGAGGGGAGTTCAGTCGGATTGGGGATTCAAGGACTGGGTGGGGTGTCAGGGAGGGAGGGCGGGGAGGTGGATGAGAGGGAGGGCTTGGAGGCTGTCACGCTGCTGTGGCTGCGGGATTTCCACGCTCTGGCCGGTGCAACTGGGCGTGGGAGGCAGGTGGACTCGGGTGGGGAAGAGATGGACAAATGGTGGCAGCTGCTGATTCGCTGCCGTGCGGATGAGCTGCTTGGTATGGTGGGTGCGATGGGGAAAGGCGCTCTGGGAGGTGAGTCTGCAGGGCAAGCGGGGGTGGTACCCGAGGAAGGGGAGGAAGAGGAGGAGGATTTGGGATTGGGTGAAAGGAGTCTTGCTGCTGAAGTGCTGGTGAGCTGGAAGGGTCTCCAGTTGAGCATCCAGCGAGCCAAAGCATCTCTTTCTCATCACGCCAGCACCTCCCTTCCTCGCTCAAGTGCCACACCCTCTGCCCCAATACTCCCTTCTCCCGCCAAGCCTGCTGCTAACCAGCCCTCTCGGCCATCGCCTGGAGCAGCAGCAGCAGCTGTGACTCTTCGGCCCGAATGGCAGGCAGTAAACCAAGGAGCTCCACAGCAGTTGCAGCAGCAGGAGCAAGCGCAGAAACAGAAGCAGCAGGAGGAGTTGCCGTTTGAGGCGGAATGGAGGGAGGTGAAGGTGTGGTGGGGGCGGTGGAGTGAGAGAGTTGCAGCCATGGTATCAGCACTGCAGAGACTGCAGAGGCGCAGAGAGCTACCCTCAGATGCGCCCTGGCTAGATGCCACCTTCCACCTGCTCGCTGTCTCCTCCCCTGCTTCCTCCTCCTCCTCCCACTCCGCCTCCCACGTTCTCGCCTCCTCCTCTGCCCAGTCCTTTCTGGTCGGCCTGTCATCTGCTCATTGGCTGAACCCTGTGCGAGCAGCAGTTAGCCACCTGCCGAATCAGGGCACGCGGGGGGAGGTAGCAAGAGAGGCTGCAGCCAGGGCAGGTGCTATCTACTGGGCGAGGCAGGCGAGTGAGATGGTCAAGGAATGTGCGGCTGTGATGCAGCAAGCCATGAGATCTCTGGAGAAGGGTTTGCTCGGTAGGAGGGAGCGTGGTGCGGCAGGTGATAAGAAGCGAGCCAGAGAGCTGCACTTGCAGCTTGAGCTTTGGGTGGAAATCCACGCGTTGCTTCAGTTTGCAATAGATTTGTGTGGGGGCGGGAGGCAAGAGCAGAATCTGCAGCAGGGAGAGGAACAGAGCAGTCAGGTGCAAGGGGCAGGCGGGGTGGGTGAGGAGGGGGGGATAGCGCAAATGGCAGGGGACGTGGAGATATGGAAAGAACAGCAGGAGAGAGCGACCTTGCGGCTGCTCTCGTTGCTCTTCCCTGTGACGAGCCCTCTCCCTCGCTCCGTGGCATTTGTGGTGGCACGGTGGAGGGAGGATGCGCGAGCACGGACCTTGATGCGCTAGTGGGCTTGCTCGTGTGTCCAGAAATATGTGGTGGAAGGGCAGAAGAAGCAGCGGCGGCTGGAGGAGGAGGAGCGGCAGAGGGAGGAGGAGCAACGGCAGAAGGAGGAGCAACGGCAGCAGCAGGAGGAGGAGGAGCGGCAGAGGGAGGAGGAGCAACGGCTGCAGCAGGAGGAGCAGCAGCAGGAGGGGAGGGATGAGGATGAGGAGGACGAGGAGGTGCAGCAGCAGCAGCAGCAGCAAGAACTCATAGACCCGTTGGTTCCTCTAGGATCGTTCGCCCAGCTGATGCAGGTGCTGCCGTATCTCGGGTCATGGTGGATCCGTAGGGAGTGCCAAGACTTGATAGCGCTGATGCCGCCCACGAGAATGGATGTGTGCGCTCAAATGCTTCAGGGGGCGCAATGGGAGCTTGAGGGCCAGTCTCTTGCACTCCAGGAGCCCTCTTTTCTCCCTGGATCTGTGGCACTTGACATGTGGGGCGTCGCCTTGAACCATGTTTACAAGGTGAGTGCTGCTGTTGGGCGATGTTACATTGGTCTTGGTTGTACCTATTTATATTGCGTTTCTAATTTGAGTCACTGTCGGAAAAATTGGAGTTGTTGAATGAATTTTGAGCTGGTCATTTCAAAATGTGACAAACCATCTGGTACAATTCTGTGCCCTTTTCCTGTCCTTGCACTGTCTGTGCGTGGTTGCTTGCAGTGGTGCTACTGGGATGTGAATGGTTTCGTTTCCTTTCCAGTGTTCCTCAGCTTGGCAGAAAGAGCAGCAGTCCACACGTGTGCAGCCATCACGAATCTGGAGAATCTCGTCATTCCCACCTCCCTCGCTTCCCTCCACCTGGAAGGCCAGCACTACTCCAACCTATGCACCCACATGCTTATGTGGTCTTCGAATCGAAACCCTTCTACTCTCGCTGAGCTTCACACAAACGTTCTCTCGCCTCTCCTTGATACCCTCATCCGCTTCCTCGTGTTTGAGCCAGAGAACCTAATCTGGTGGCTGAACAGGAGTGGTGTGGCTCCAGCGGAACGTGGCTCCCTCTTCCTCCGCCTCCTTGTTCTTGTTGCCGTCTCTGTCTGCAATGTCGACTGTCACCACGGCCATGAGTTCTTCTCCTACCTCGTAGACCACCTCCTGATCCTCTTCTCCCCTCTCGACCGGCTCCCCAACCCGCTCATCTCCACCCTTCCTCCAAAACTATACTACGATCTCAAGAACATGTTCAGGAGGGATAAACCCGCACCAGGTCCCAACTACTTTTACCAGATGCTGACCCGTAACATGCGCGCCATGCAAGACCCTTTGGTGGTGCTTCGGCGGCAGGGGTCTTGGAGTATTCCAGCCTATGAATGGAAGGCCAGCCTGCCGTACTTAGATGTTGAGTTCACCCCGGAAGTTGCTGCTCATGCTGCTGCTGCTGGACGTGTAAATGGAGGGCAACAGTGCTTCTCAGTGTTTTCTCTTCAGAATCTGACAGGGTACCGGGTTCCACTGCTGGGTGGTGACACTGAGAATGCAGCCGATGCCGCTGCGGCCGCTGCTGTTGATGAGGAGGAGGATGGCGGTGCTGGTGATGGTACGGTTGGTGAGGAAGGAGCTGGTGCTGAATCTGGTGCCGGAGCCGACTCAGACTCAACAACAGAGGCAGCGGTGGCACCTCAAAGCGGAGAGAGTCTAGAGCAGGGGGATGAGTGGGGTGGTGATGAGGAGGGGAAGGCAGGTACAGTTGGTGGTGCTGGGAAGCACGTGGGGAAGGAGTTGAAGAATGCGCAGCTGCAGACCGACGAGCGGGAGGAGGTGGACGGTGTCAAGATCGCGCTGAGGATCACACAGCAGCTGCGCAGCTGCCTGCACCAGGTAGGAGAAGCTCAGGCTGTATAAGCAGCAGCTTGCCTTGTTGACTTCCCCTTGCTGACTTCCCCTTGTTGATTTCCCGTTGCTGATTGTTTCAGTTCGGTTAATGTGTGCCTTTCGATGCCAACCCATGGCTTGGCTGCATGCTTTGCTTCATCCACCCTGTGCTAGTGTAACGTAGACCAGAATCATTTCTTCATCGTCCCCTCAACTGCCATTTCCTTCCGAGCAATTCTGTAGAGTTTTCAGAAACCGCTCCATTTCCTTCCGAGCAATTCTGTAGAGTTTTCAGAAACCGCTCGTTCTTTCCTTCGCAACTGTCCTCCTTCAGGCTCGTGAGCGGCTGCAGGAGGAGTTGTCCCCGCTCCAGCAGTGCAGCAGGGAGGCACGGAGGGCGTTGACTCTCAAGCTTCAGTCCGTCAGTGCAAGCCAGCGCGCCTTTTACCTCAAGGAGTACGAGGAACATGCGTGCCCTTTGAAGGTGCGCACTTCAGCTCTCTCCGTTCCCTGCACTTCTGCCTTGCTTTTGTTTTCTGAAGTTTTTTAGCCCGCTCAGAAATCCACATTGGATAAGGTGGTCAGCTATATTCTTGAGGTCCTTTCACAGTCATTTTTCTATGGTCTGCTTCCCATGTTGTCTTGACCCGGCAACCCTGCCATCGCCGCTCTCTTTCCGTCTCCTTGTCGTCTTCATCGTCCTCTGTTGTCATCTTGATCTCACACCATGCCGTCTACTCAATCGTCACCTGTGCCCGATTCCGCGTCACTGTCACAGGTTGACGTGGACGCGTTTCTGGCCCTGATTCACGAGGGTGTGAGGCAGCTGAAGCAGCTGCTGCAGCAGGGGGGCTCGGGCACAGGACAGGGCCAGCAGCAGCGGAAAGGGCAGGGGCGTGGGTGGTCAGAGGAGGAGGCGGAGAAGCATGAGCAGCTGTTGGAAGAGGCTCTGGATGCAGAAGAATCACTTACGGCTGCAACCAGTGCCGTCCACCATTCGTACGCTTCCATTCTTATCCTCTTCATACTCTTCTCATCTTTTCCTCATCCTCCTCCGCGTCCTCTTCCCCATCCGCGTGTCATCGAGCCATGCCTTGCTTATCATTCAATCTCAATCCTTCTGTCTGCCCCATGTTGTGTATGCTTCCAAGACGTAGTACACTTGTTTGTCTGAGCTTCCATAATGCCCTATCGCATCCTCTCATCGTTATTATGACGGTTCATCTCACCCCATTCTTACCGCACCATTATGCCCTGCGTCCTATTCTTACCGCACTATTATGCCCTGCGTCCCATTCTTACCGCACCCAGCCCCTCACCCTCTTCCGACAGGCACGCTGGTCATGCGTCTGCCTCTGTGAGTTGGCTCCACAGCACAGCCATTGGTCCCCTCTCCGACCTCCTCTCCCAGCACAAGGCTCTGGAGCACCGGCTCAAGCAGCTGCTGCACTCCACAGAGAAGGAAGGGGCAAGTGCACAGGGTGGTTCCAGAAAGGGGAGTGGGAGGGTGAAACAAGAGGGAAGCAGTGGGGTGCAGGAGCCTGGAGGAGGGAAAGGGAAGGGGAAGAAGGGAGCGGGCCGCAGTGGAGGGAAGGATGGTGGCAAAGGAGGGAAGAAGCAACGAGGGGGCAGGTCAAGGAGGTGATATTGATCAGTTGTTTCAGTACTGGTCGTTAATGTTCAGACCTGTAGAGCAAGTGTGGGGGCAAATCGTGCATGTGCAGGCACTGTCTGTGCAATGCAAACATTGCATTTCAATCAGGTCAAGGTAGCCATTTGCAATTCAGTGTGATGTGAGCTGTGGCGACACAAATTGGATCACTGTAGCAAATAACATCTGAGATTTTCTCAGGCAAGTTGCATGCCATGCTCCATTCTTCAAGCTCCAGATATTCAGCTCCGCATCTCTGTCTGGGTTGCCTCCTGTCATACACAGAAGCTGCTGCTGGTGAAGATGGTGTGGGAGTGGGAAGCATTGAGGTGGAAGCATTAGTGAGGAACGTTGTGGTCAGCAGGGGTGTTTGAGCCCAAGTAAGCATGCATCACGTCTTCTCTTGTCTCAATCAAAATGCCTTTCGAATGGCCATAAGCAAGCCACTGTCACTCAAGTACACCACACCACCATATACCACGATTCTCTTATGCGTGATGACAAGTTCTGGTTTGTAGGATAGCTCGTAGTAGAATATACATGATAAAGCATTTCTCACTAGTATTTTTCTCCTTTGGGACAAGTATCTGTATAGCCTACACCCAAAGCCACACAGGCATGGCTCATGGAGCCTGCCCTCATGTACCCCTTGCCCAACCAGCCCGGCACCTGCTTCTGCCCGGCACATGACCATTTTCCAACTCTGCAAAAAGCAAGTTGAACGAACCACTACCATTCCATGTCTCACTCCTCCACATGCATACCTCCCCTCATTCTTCACGCCCCTTACCTCCATGCCTCTCCTCACTCTCCCCTAGACAGTCACAATCAACCCTTCCTTCACCTCACCTCCCGTTCATCATCACTCCGTGCCACCCAGCCTGCCTATCCACCTGCGCACATCATCGTTGTGAAGGCAACCCCCTTCAGTGGGCCAGAGAGCTGTCAGCTTGCTCAAGGCAGACAGATGCTGCAGCCCATCATTCGAGACTGCCGACCTACCTAGACCAAGGCTCTCTAACCCTGTCAGCTGCGCTACATTCACCATGCCAGCATTTGTCACACCTGTACATCCACCAAACCCCAAGGATTTGAGAGAGGAAAGGGGTGTCAAGTGCGCCAGACTAGCATCGTTCAGCTTAGTATCATGGAGATAGAGCTCCTTGAGACTGGCCAAGGACCCCATGCCTTCCAGGGCACTGTCTGCCACGTCTGTGCTGCTGAGGTTTAGCGTTTTCAGCAGCGGCAGCCTGTATAGGTGCTTGATGCCCTCTGCACTAAAGCCTGAGCTACACGCTAAGTTAATGCTCGTCAGATGGGTCATCATGGACACATGGGCGAGCATGGCGTCTGAGAGGCCTTTGAGGTTCTTCAGGTCCAGACCGGTCTTTTGTGATGCTGACTTGATTGCCTGGCGAGAACGGCGAAGCGGGAAAACATGACAAAAAAAGGATTGACCACGGTAGCAAGAAAGAACTCGAATGCGATGCATGCCCTGTGAAACGATTCCCTCAGAACTCACCTGCCATGCAGTCTTCTGATGGCCTTCACTCTCCCTGATTTGCAGGTCAACATCCACCTTCATGCGAGCATCCTTCTGCTCAGCGAACTCCCCCTTCACCGCTGCCAGCTCCCTCTCCCTCTCCTCCACCTGCCTTCTCATCTCCCTCATCTCAGCCATTGGACTGCTCTCGCCCTCTTCGGACTGCAATGAAAAGAACTGCTTGTGCTCACCCACCTCCCCCTGTACTTCACCCACCTCCCCCTGTACTTCACCCACCTCCCCCTGTACTTCACCCACCTCCCCCTGTACTTCACCCACCTCCCCCTGTACTTCACCCACGTCCCCCTGTGCTTCACCCACCTCCCCCTGTGCTTCACCCACCTCCCCCTGTACTTCACCCACCTCCCCCTGTACTTCACCCACCTCCCCCTGTACTTCATCCACCTCCCCCTGTAATTCACCCACCTCCCCCTTCACCTCAACCATCTTCCCCTTCAGTGCAGCCAGATCCCGCTTCACCCCTCGTACCTCCCCCTCCACATCACCCACCTCCCCCTCCCCCTTCACCTCACTCACCTCCCCCTTCACCTTCCCCACCTCCCCCTTCACCTCACTCACCTCCCCCTTCACCTCCCCCACCTCCCCCTTCACCTCACTCACCTCCCCCTTCACCTCCCCCACCTCCCCCTTCACCTCCCCCACCTCCCCCTTCACCTCCCCCACCTCCCCCTTCACCTTCCCCACCTCCCCCTTCACCTCCCCCACCTCCCCCTTCACCTCCCCCTTCACCTCCCCCACCTCCCCCTTCACCTCCCCCACCTCCCCCTTCACCTCCCCCTTCACCTCCCCCACCTCCCCCTTCACCTCCCCCTTCACCTCCCCCACCTCCCCCTTCACCTCCCCCTTCACCTCCCCCACCCCCCCCTTCACCTCTCCCTTCACCTCCCCCACCTCCCCCTTCACCGCAGCCAGTTCTGCAACGAGCTCCTCTCTCATCATTCGCATATCCTCCAGCAGCAATGCTGTTGGCTGCTTGTGCTCACCCAACTCTCCCTCTCTCTCTCCTTCACCATAGCAGCAGTCGCCTCATTCCTCTCCTCCACAAAAATCAACATCTGCCGCAACTCATTCACCTTCTCCTTGTGTGCGGCCAGCTCTCCTCTCACTGCTGGCAGCACCGCCTCTTTCAAAACTTCAATCAGTGGCCCCATGGCACGCCCATTCAACTCCTGCAACTCCTTCCTCCTCTCCTCCCTCCCCCTTGCCAAATTCTCTCCCAGATCTCTCAATTCCGCTTCCCTTCTTTTCTCGACCATATCCCATTGCTCTGTCATCGCGTCCTTGTGTTCATCCACCTTCCCCTTCACTGCACCCAACTCCCCCTTCACTCCAATAAGCTCCCCTCTCATTGCTGCCAAAACTCTCCCCCTCTCCTCCAACACAGCGGCAGTCGCTACACTCCTCTCTCCCACAACACCCAGTGAGCGCTTCAACGCACTCACCTCATTCTCCAAGGCAACATTCGCCCTCTCCAGCATCAGGACTCGCACATTCTGTTGGACTAACTCCTCGCACATCACTAAGTCAACATCCATGTTCATGAGAGCATCCTTCTTCACTGCATCCAGCTCCGCTTTCCCTGCATTCACATCCCTATCCCTCTCCTCACCCTGCCCTCTCATCTCCGCCACTCGTCTCCTCTCAGCCTCCTCCAACTGCAACTTAATTGCCTGCTTGTGTTCAGCGGCCTCCACTTTCACTGCTCTCACCTCCCCCTTCACTGCTGCTGCCTCCCCCTTTACAGCTGCCAATTCCCCCTTCAATGGAATCACCTCTCCCTTCACTGCAGTTATCTCCCCATTTGCAGCAGTCAGGTCCCACTTTAGTCCAGCCACCTCCCCCTTCACTGCAGTCACTTCCCCCATCACCAAAGTCACTCCCCCCTTCACTGCAGTCACCTCTCCCTTCATTGCAGTCACATTCCCCTTTACTGCAGTCACTTCCCCCTTCACTACACTCACCTCTTCCTTCACTGCAGTCACCTCCCCCTTCACTGCCGTCACCTCCCCATTCACTGTATTCACCTCAGACTTCAGATTTTCCACCTCAAACTTCACTGCAGTCACCATCACCTTCACTGTTGTCACCTCCCCCTTCATTGCTGCCAGCTCTCTCTCCCTCTCCTCCACCTGCCCTCTCATCTCCCTCATCTCAGCCACTCGTCTCCTCTCAGCCTCCTCCAGCTGCAATGTAGTCGACTGCTTGTGCTCACCCAACTCTCCCGTCACTGCAGCCAACTCTCCCTCCATCTCCTTCACCACAGCAGCAGTCGCCTGATCCTTCTGTCCCACAGCAATCAACATGTGCCGCAACTCATTCACCACCCTTTCGCGTTCAGTCAGCTGCTCTCTCACTGCTGCCAGCACCGCCTCCTTGACCACGTCAATCAGTGGCCCCACCGCTCTCTCAACAGCCATTTCATCCATTGACTCCCCTCAATCAACTGTTGCTCAATGACCGACCCCTGCGTTCAACTATCTTTTACACTGCAGACTGGTGAAAGCAGACACGCCTGGGAAGGGCAGGGTTGAGAGTCTTTCGAGAAAACAGAAACGTAAAAGAAAGATGGAGAATGCACGAGGTGAGTGGACACACGAACAAGACCAATTACACGGGCGTGAGGGATGAGTGTGATGTGAGTAAGAAGGCATAGAAAGAGCAGCAGAAGAGGGGCACTTGATGAAACGATGAGGGAGAATGGGCTGAGCACATGTCTGGGTAAAAAAAAAGCTTGTGCATCTGGCATGAAGTCAGTTTGGCATGGGGAGTCCGTGAGAAGCAGATAAAACAAGACTTGTGAACGACACGCACGGTGACACTGCAAATGGGTGCAGCAAGGCAGAAACGGATGCACAGGATGAAGGGCATAGAGCCGCAGAGTGCATAGCATAGGGTGATAAGAATACTAAGCAGAGAGAAGCGGCGACTTTTAGAACCAGTGAAATGACACCACAACCACAACCAACCAGCGAGAGGAACTAGAGAACACAGACACGGGAGAAAATGACCAGGTTGAAGAATATGACACGGGAGAAAATGACCAGGCTGAAGAATATGACACGGGAGAAAATGACCAGGTTGAAGAATATGACACGGGAGAAAATGACCAGGTTGAAGAATATGACACGGGAGAAAATGACCAGGTTGAAGAATATGAGACGGGAGAAAATGACCAGTTTGAAGAATATGACACGGGAGAAAATGACCAGGTTGAAGAATATGACACGGGAGAAAATGACCAGGTTGAAGAATTTGACACGGGAGAAAATGACCATGCTGAAGAATTTGACACGGGAGAAAATGAGAAATCTACTACGTTGGTGGACTTACACCTGGGTGAGGTTGAGCTAGGGTGGGTCGTGTGATGCAAGGCTCATGGTGAACCCGACAGCTTCCCACGAGCCTTTCTGGCTTGGGCATTACTATATCTGAACTTCACGATTTGATGGTTGAAAACAACCGAACAATTTGGGCACTCATGGTTGAGAAACTCCTTAGTTCGAAACGAACTGAACCGCCGGATCGAAGTTCATTTCTTTGCTCATGACTAGTCTGCGTGAGCAATGGCCAGGTCACACCAGGCTCGCCGCTGTTGAACCATTACAGGCATAATGCGGTTCGGTTCATTTTGGCTCGGCTCGGTTGGGGAGAGGTGAAGTACAGATCATGAGACTCAAATTGTTCTGGGGGTGACCTGGAGGCTCAGAACCGCCTACTGTTCAGACAACGTTGTGGTTACAAAAACTATATTGCTTGTTGGTGGTCAAAGGCAGGCTGGTTACAGGCTAGATCGGTGAGCCTGGGCAAGGAGAAAAACAGCAACACATGAAGGGTTTGGGCGAACAAAACAGTGCGTCAACAATGGTTCATACGTTAGGAGCCTTGACCATGCGAAATGCTGAGACCGGGGAAACAATAGCAATGCTCGTGGGTGTCAGAATGGTTACCTTTATTCAGGCTCGTGTTTCCGCGGCTTGCGAACGGCGTGAATCAGCAGCGGTGGCACGGAGTCAGTCAAACAGCAATGTGTGGTGCTGATGGCGAGGCTTGGGGATTCTGAAAGTGGTGCGAGGGAAGGGAGGCAGGGAGACAAGCGGGGCTGGGCCGATGAGAAGCGAAGAGGTGTGGATGGTGCGGGAGGCAGTACGTGGCAACGAGGGAACGGCCCTGCCACTCGTATGACTGTCCATCACACTGGTTGTCGTTCGTTTGTTGACTGAAAGGTCACTCATATATCCAGCTCAAGTTACTCTCGATTTCAATGTTGACTCGAATAGGGCCGACTCGACCCGAAAATTTGAGTCTCGGTCAGGAAGGGTCGGCACTTGACTCGCCTAGAGCTGAGCCTGACTCGTCTTTAAGTTCGTGCACATGTCCATGCTACTAGGTCAGACAGACCATGTCAATCACAAGCTGAAGTGGGTCACAGGCAAAGCCGGTAGGCCAGTCAGTCACAAGCTGTTAGGCAAACTTTTGCCCAGCAAGAGGTCAGGTCAGTTACGTTCAAGGTCATTCACGGCCACATGCTAGGTCGGTCACATGCTAGGTCGGTCACATGCTAGGTCGGTCACATGCTAGTCTTAGACTCAGTCGTAGTGAGTACGTGACTTAGGAGTCACGAAAATAGCAGTAGCGGGCTTCAAACTGAATCCCAAAGTTGAAGAAACAGGTTGCTTTCCAACCCAGGTTGCAAACAGAAAGGTTCACTATAAAAAATTGATACAAAGAGGAGAACAGAACATGATATTTAAGCAGTACGAAATCCGAATTTCAAAGTGCGCCTCGCGTAATGCGCCTCGTCGCGAAACCGAATTTCGTAACAGTAACCGACGTTGAAAACCGAAATTCAAACTGAACCGTCTTTGAAACCGACTTTCTTCAACTCCACCGAACACTGCCTCCGGAATGGTTGGGAAAATTTCTGGCGGTTGAGAACGTTCTTCCCTCTCTCTCTCCTGAAACCCTCGTTTTCACCAGCTGCTCCTCACGATCTTCTCAGCTAGCTCCTCCCACCGTCAGAACTCATTGTCCAGCCTATTCTCTCCCACCGCCATAGGTAAGGCAATTTCCAAGTGTCCTGTTCTGTCGTTTTCACGCTCTAGAGTCGGTGCAGCGGCTAACCACCTCTAACAATCTCCCCTGTGGTTTGCTGCTGCCAACCCTAGATCTGAAAAAAATCTTAATCACTGTTCCTCCACCTTGCTCCCCTGGAAGTCCTGCAGGGTACGCATCCCGACGAGATGCTTGCAGCGCTCGAAATTAGCCTTCGGAAGGACCTTAGTAAGGAAGTCGGCTGCTTGATCTTCTGTCCGTACGAACTCAAAGGTAAATGCCTTTTTCTCCAGCTGTTCACGCACCCAATGATACTTGATGTCCATGTGCTTGGTACGTCCGTGCCAGTTGTCATTTTTCGCCAATGCTATGGCTGATTTGCTGTCCGATCTGATGGTAGTTGGTCCTTCAATGCGTATCCCCATTTCTTGCAGTAAACGCCGAAGCCACACTCCTTCTTGACATGCGTAGAATAACGCCATGTATTCCGCTTCCGCGCTTGAGAGTGCCATGTCGTTTAGCTTCTTGCCTTGCCACGTGATTGCTGTCCCGCCAAGGAGGAAGACGTACCCATAAGCTCCCTTTCTGTCCTTCTTATCTGATGCATGAGATGCATCAGCATATCCGATTAACTCCATTGCTTCTTCTCCGCCTTCGTAGAGTAGCCCCTCTTCTCCCCGTTGCTGCAGATAGGTGATTGTGCGCTGCATCTCCTTCCATTTGCGGCCTTCTGGCTGCAGCACGTTCTGCCCCAAGAAGCTGGCAGCATGTGCAACGTCTACCCGCGTACAAGAGACGGGGTACATCACCGATCCGACCCGTGACTGGTAAGCCTTCAATGCTCGCTCCTTGCTGCCCCATTGGATGAGTTCTTCTTCAGGGTTGACTTCCTTCTCTGACAGGCTGCTGAGCGGAGTGGTCACTGCCTTGGTGCAGTCCCGTGTTCCAAATCTTTCTTGCAACCGATGAATGTACTTCTTCTGGTAGAGTAGCAGCTTCTTCCCTTCTCGGTCCCGCTCCAGGTTCATGCCAAGGAACAACGTGGCTCTCGGGATCTGCTTCACCTGGAAGACAGCTGCAAGGTGAGCACACACTTCCTCAACTCTGTCCTCCAAAGCTCCAGCCACTAGGATGTCGTCGACGTAGAGTAGGAGGTAGACTTTTTTCTCCCCTTCCCCCTTCCAGTAAAATGCTCTGTCACACTGACTTATCTTGAAACCTCCTTCGAGCAGGCGTGCATCCATAGCCTTGTACCATTCTCGAGGGCTTTGTTTCAGCCCATAGAGCGCTTTCAACAGTTTGCATTTTCTGTCAGTTCCGTCCTCCATTCCTGTAGGCTGATCCATGTAGATGTCTTCTTGGAGTTCTCCGTAGAGGAAAGCGTTCTTGATGTCAAGTTGAACCATGATGTAGTTGTGTGCTGCAACAATCTTGAAGAGTGTCCTTGCTGTAGTCAATTTGCTGACAGGGGCGTATGTCTCCGTGTAGTCAATCCCCTCCACTTGCGTGTAACCTTTTGCCACCAGCCGTGCTTTGAACCTCTCAAGCTGCCCCTTATCCCCTGTTTTTATCTTGAAAATCCACTTGACGCCAACGGCATGCCTCCCTTCGGGCATTTGGACGAGTTTCCAAGTGCCTCTTTCTGCGAGAGCGTCCAACTCCTCTTGTATAGCTGCTTTCCACTGCTCCTTGTATGGTCCAGAGAGTGCTTCCTCGATGCTCAAAGGTTCCTGCGGCAGATTGTAAGTCTCTCTTCTTTCCTTGGTAATCAGCGCTGCCGCCGTTGAGGTGAGGAGGAGGTGAGTGTGCACGTCTTTCCAGCATGTCATCAGGACCTGTTGGTATTTCGGATTCGGCTTCTTCATCCGCATCCCTCTTCCCAGCTCCTCTCCTTTCACCGAAACATCACTTGCACTCGTGTCTGCTGCCATCTCCCCTGCTTTCTCTGTGCTTGAGCCTCCTTCTTTTCTCCCAATAAGAATAGCTCCTTCCTGCAGTAAGCTGTCAATTTCTGCTGCTCCTTGGTCGTTGTTGTTTGTCTCGAAGAACTCCCACGGGTCGCTTTTGCCCTCTGTACTTGGCTGACCTACACTTTCAGCTTCATTCCCTCCCATGTCTTCATGTGTGTCGCTAGCTGATCGTTGCAGAGGTGGAGTTGTAGGAGCCGCTTCCATGTCACCGTTGGTGAGCGTATCTGCAGTTGGCTCCCACACCCAATCCACTCCAGCTTGGGTATGTTCCTCCTCATATTCTTCCCCTTCGTTGTTTGCTGTCCCCAAGCCTTCGTTTTGGTCATCTTCAAGTAGTTCCTCCGCTCATTGAGGTGTGGCAGGTGCTGTCCCTGGAGTTTCGCCCTTGTTGCTTGCCTTCCAGT